CGGCGCGGGGCGGCTTCAAGCAGCAGTGGCAGGGGAGGGTCCAGATGGCTTCCAGTGCTTTGCCTGGAAGCCTTCCAGACCCCCCTACCCTGCTGCCGCTGCCGCTTGAAGCAGTCGATGCCACCTATCAAAGGGCTTTCTCCAATGTCGGAGGGGGGCCCTTTGAGAGCTCGGAAGGCAAATGTCGGCGGTCAGCGGTGGCTTCGAGGTCCTTCCGAGGCTGCCGCCCATCGCCGACATTTTCCCCTAGCTGAGCGGCGGGGCTTCCGCTGAGCTGGGGGAAAATGCCCCTTCCGAAGGGGAATACAGGCCGTGGCTTCGGAAGGGTCCTTCCGAGGCCACCTCCAGCATTTTCCTGCAGCTGATCGGTGGGGCTTCGAAGCTCCTGCCGCTCAGCTGGGGGAAAATTGGGCTATGGGGAGAAATCACAAAGCGGATTCATCATTAAACAGGGTGCTCGTTAAACGAGGCACCACTGTATTCAATAAATTAATGGACATGGATTCTGAAAGTCCCTTAGATTCCTGAAGCGACAATAATTTCCCTTTAGGCCAGGCCTTTCTGCTAAACCTTTCTAATAACAAGATTTTCTTTATCAGATACCCTACTTGTTATACACAAAAGCATATACTTTGATTCTTTCTGTATAATTGTTTCATTGTCCAGACTCTTTTTTCTATTCTAGTAATCTACATTTTGGGTCTATAACCATTTTTATTTCAAGCTCTAAGCCTTATATTGTCATTCAATAGACAGAACCTGTTGCCAGTTAATCATACTAACTGAATATTTCTAACAATACACTCTGCTCCTATCCAAGTCAGTGGCATAACTCACATTAATTAAAAATACAAAAACCTTAGGCTTTCCATTTGAGAAGTATAACTGGTTATAAAAATCAATATACTGTACTATAAAGTTTGACTTTGACAGTGTACCAGTCCATACTAGTGCAGCATCTAAGGGAGTCAGTGCTAGTTATTACTGCTCCTAGATCATTGTGTAGTATAGCTAGAAGTAAATTACTTCTCTCTTAAAAGGGGTGGGGAAGCATACCATGGACAGTGATGATCCATTTTCAGTACACATCTAAAAAAAAGAGGAAGATGTATTTTAATCAATTTAAAGTTCTTACAAGACCACCAACATGCACTTTCCCAAAAGAACATGGAATCTCAAACAGTAATGAATGTCCCCATATTTTTCTGTGTCTGTCTAATAAGGCCTCAAGGCTAAACTGCATAAAAGCTGATGCTATACAGAAATTGTTAATCCTGAAGGCAGCACAGGATTCTTTGTTGCTTTCGTTGCAAAAGATTAAAACAGTTGCACACTCCTGAAAGAACTAGTTTTAATATTATTCATTTATTATTTATTTTATTTACAATATTTTTAGCCGCACCATTGACAGTGGCTTCTGGGCGGCGTACAGCATTAAAACTTAAAAACATTAAAAACATTTTAAGACAATATAAAATAGCATATATTAAAATAATTCTTAAAACATTAAAATTAATAAGTCCTGCTGCTCATATTCTAAAGCTTTTTGAAGTAAAACCTATTATTACAGTTGCTACAAATTTCACCAAGTATAAGATGGCAGCTTTGAGTAACACAAAATCTAAGGTAGACATATGTTTATTTCACACATGATTAGAAGTGGGATCACAGAAACTGAAGTCAGAGGAAAATCCAAAAACTACTAATAGTGGCTACTGAAAGAAAAGAGGACTGCTTAAATCCTTCCCTTGCACAGCCATATTTCCAATCAATTTTTTTTAATATTCCAGAGGTGAACATGTGGGTGACTTTATATTTTCCATTGTGGGTAGAAGTGCAAGGCAGTCCATTTTGCACAGAAAAACAATCAGACAGAAAGATGTAAGCAGCCCTTTCCCTCGCTTTACCCTTGTTATTTGTTCTAATCTCTTATGACTGAGTTTCATTTCAAACACACACAGAATTCAGGAGACTCTTACATAAATCTGCCATATTCAATCCTCTGCATTCAGCCAAATAAGAAACCTAATTAATTTGAACAAATTGTTATTGCTAAGCAACACACGCTACTTCCATAGACCATATCCTATTTAACAAACTGCATTTAAGGAGTGTATTTACATCCTAGTAGTGCAGTAAAATGGAACACTGCACCTATGTCATACAGGAGTTTATTTTGCTGATGAGTGTAGCACATGTGTATGTATGTATGTATGTATGTATGTATGTATGTATGTATGTATGTATGTATGTATGTATGTATGTATGTATGTATGTATGTATGTATGTATGTATGTTGAATACCACCCCATAGTGCAAAAACCCAGATGATTCATAACATGTTAAATCACATATAATAAATGATACAAAATGTCATACAATAAATACTGTAATACAGATAACATCTTGTCACAAATTAAGACCTATCTTTAAACAGAATGAAACAATTTAAAGTGGCTGTAAATAATACTGCTTATTCTTAAGAGAAGGGTATGGTTCTTGGTATTAACTTTTTTTTATCTCTTTAAGTGTCACAATTTTTAACATACAGGACTGTGAATAGTGGGTGGGACAGGTTGCTGTTTTGTGAGAGATGTTCTGACAAATATCAAAAATCTAAACCATTAGGGGCTTTATAGCTCATGACCAGCAGCTTGAACTGGGCATGGAAACTAAGCGGGAAACAATGAAGATATGCCAAAACTGGGAATATGTGTTCATATCTGCTGGTACCTGTGATCAGTCTGATGCTGCATTTTGGACCTGCTGAAGTTTCTGTACTAACTTCAAGAGCAGCCCTACATAGAGTGTGTTATAATAGTTTATTTTAGAGATAATCAATGCATGAAATGCTACCCATTTTTTCTCCAGGTCGGGGTCATCTGATCAGGTACTGAGCCCACAAGAATGAAACATATTATGCGAAAGAACACTGGGGGCTTAGAGTTGCGATTAAGATAATACATTATAAGCCAAATCTATATTGAATCCCATACATGCATTTCAAATATGAAATGCATGTATGGATCTCATGACAATTTGGAAGTTAACCCGTTCCCCGTGTGTGTGTGGGGGGGGGGTAAAAGGAACAGGGGGAAAGGGTCACGATTAAGAGAATACATTACAAGCCAAATATATATCAAATTCCATACATGCATTTCAAACAGGGGAAAAGGGTTAACTTCCAATTTGTCATGAGATCCCATACATGCATTTCATATTTGTTTAAGCTGGGAGACCAGTTTATTGTCTTCTATATAACACGTATTTGGAATTCATGACTGAGATAAGACCTAAGCCAGATATATAAAATGAAGATGATAAGCAGGTAGCTGAAGCCTAACCTAGTGTTTTGCTTTGCAGTGTGCTCCATCAACTTGGAAATGTATGGAAAAAAGCAAAAAAGAAAAGAAAAGAAAAAAAGGCAGGGCCACTCCCCACAACCACCATGCACTAAGCTTTGAGTTCAAGGGAAATGAACAAGGTAATCAGAACCATGTCAAGAGAGAGGAGGGAGAAGGGATAGCCTCAGAGGTGCAGATAAAGCAAAAATCAAACCCAGCCGACATTGCAATGGCACAGACACTATGGAAAGAGACAGGTAAGCCTGGAGGCAAGCCAGTTGTCAGAAGACTATGGGCTGTTCCAGGATCTGATCCAATTTCACCAATAGCTATGAAAATAAAGAGAAATTCCCAATGGCTTGCCAAGATGCTTTCCCTCTTCAAGTCTCTGGATGCCAGAAACATTTCCTTTCCTTTCGTTTACTTGTGCACATGAAGAAATTAGTAAACAATCTGTATCCAGAACCTTTTCACTTAAAATGATGTATATACAGTGCAAAGCCAATGGAAAACTTATAAAAAACTTACAGTACGCAAATGCTCAACAAAATAAAGCTTATTAAAATGATGTAGAGAAAATCAATACTGGTACTGTATATATAAAAAAGAAAAGAATGAGGATTTAAATTATTTTTCTGCTTCTATTTTATTTCTCTTATTTGCCATCTGTAGGAGAAAGAATGAGTCATAGTTACAAGAAGATCCATGTTAATCTTATTTTTGATTATAATATAGTTTGAACTTAAAGAGTAAAAAATATCATTTATGATGAATTTCCCAATTTTAAAATACAATGGCCAAAATCCTATTGCTTTGCACACTAAATTTCACTGCCCACTGAATCAATGGGGATTTGCTAAGTCCCCTTTTCCATAAATCGTACTTATTCAAATCAGCCTACTGTAGCTGTGGCTTAGCATAGTAAGCATAGTAAGTCACAGGTGGAGTAGGTCCATTTGAATCAATGGAACTTATGGAACAGGCAACTGCCTAAATCCTCATTAATTCAATGGGCCTACATAGTACAACTTACTATGCTAAGCAACAAGACTTTGGTGCATTTGGAAGAAGAACATTGTTTCTTTAAGTGTTAAAGTACATTTGCTGCTGAATCCATGCAAAATAATGAATGAACACAAGTTTATCTGATAAACAGCTTACAAGTACTTACAGGTCACAGGCAGAACAATGATGACATCGATCAGGCTTGATTAACTGGCATCTATCGCAGTATCTTATGGCTGTGGTAAACATTTTAAAACTAGTTAAATATTACTTAGTAAGTTGAAAAGTTTAGAGTTCAAAGAAATTCTGCTTTCACAAAAGGATTAAATATACAATGGAACCTCGACTTACAAACTTAATCCATATTGGAATGATGTTCATACATCGAAACACTCGTAAATTGAAGCAAAAATTTCCCATAGAAATGCACTGAAAACCATTTAATCCATTCTGGCTGTTTTTCGTTCTTATCTAGAGGCGCTGTTCCCAGGTAGAGGCATTAGTTCCGATAGGAACTAATGTAAAGCCAGTTAATCCGTACTCTATCACTAGGGGGAAATTTTTTTCCTTTTTCTTATTTTGATCTAAGATGAACTTAGGTCAAAAAAGGACAGGAAAGCAGGGAGGGGGGAGGGAACACCTTTTAACAGAACACTTTTTTTATTTGTAAGTCAAAGCTCTGTTTGCAAGTCAAAGCAAAATTTTGCGAATGGAGCAGTTTGTAAGTTGAAATGTTCAGAGGTAGGGACGTTCGTAAGTCAAGGTTCCGCTATATCTCAAAATGATAAAAACATAGAACTGCAGATCTGGAAATTCCAGGGTCATTAAATTCAACCTGCTGCCAAGGCATTACTGTATCTTGAAGATTAATTTGTGAATGATGAGATGACAGTTCTGCCAATAGTCTTGAGGCATCAAAATACAAGTGTACCTGTAAAGTCAGTGGGTGGCTTAACTATAAGAGGTTAAAGGGAAGATTAAAATTAAAACTGCAGAAAACAAAATTAAAACTGCAGAAAATATGAATGCATATCTGGAAAAATAAAGTCCTAAATATGTATATAACCTAAATATTCGATAGAACATTGGACTGTGATGCAGTCTTCTTCCAACTGCTACAGATATACATAGTTTCTCATGTAGAATTTAAGAAAAAAATAGATGTTTGTAAAAAATTTAGAATGATCTTCAGTTTAGAAAATGTGGGCACTCATTAGTTTCTTAAAGAGGAAGAGAGATGATGAAGCAGACTGAAACAGGCAGACTGAGAGGGATCGCCTGTCGAAATAGGCCTTCTTGGCTGTTGCCCCCCAAGTTTGGAATGCCCTCCCTATAGAGATCCGCCTGGCTCCAATACTTTTGGCTTTTTGGCGTCAGGCAAAGGCCTTTCTGATTAGCCAGCATTTTAATTAAACAGTATTCTCTAGCTGGCCACATGAGCAGCAGGATTTATTAATATTAATGTTTTAAGAATTGTTTTAATATAGGATATTTTATATTGTCTATTGAATGTTCTTAATGTTTTTAATTTTTAATATTGTTGTATGCCACCTAGAAGCCACTGATAATGGTGTGGCTAAAAATATTGTAAATAAATAAATAAATAAATAAATACTGTAAATAAATAAACCTGAAGAATTTGATTGTTCACCAAAATAAGGAAACTGAGAGAAAATGACAAATCATGGTTTGCCAGTATGAACACAATCAGACTTGAATCACTGAATTGTGAATTCCCAACCCCATTTTTCATCTCATGGATGCTAATTATTTCCCTTACTCAGCATTCACTGCTAGCTATTTCATTAAACTTATGGAGATGACAGTTTCTTGCCAATCAAGGTTGCAAACTATGTTCAAACAAAATAGAAAACTATTATTTGTCAAGAAGCTCTAAATAAGACAGATGATCAGGGCATGTGCTTGTGGCTGGTGAATGTCTTCAGTTAAACTTAATAATGTAATTATAACCATACAGAGTTTTGTGATGTTGGACTTTTTACAGCCCTACCTCTTGATGTTGTTGTAGTATACACAGGCAGGTCTTTGGCAGCTCTTCTCAGTATTTCCTGTTGGGATTCTGGTCTCTCTTCTTTTTCATACTGCTCTTTATCACTTTTGGACAAACAGAACTGAAGAAGACAAAAGTGTGATTTTTCCCCTTCACTTGCCAGTAATGTTTATGTGATATGCAAGGTAGTATTATGAGGATTTCTTCCTGTTAACAATTCAAAGCATAAATGTGAAGGATAACTTGGAGACACAACTATTCTTTACAAACCAAAAGGTTATTTTTATTTATTTATTATTTATTTCATCCATTTCTATACCACTGACTTAGTGCAAAGCACTACTCTAAGAAGTTTACAGTAAGACAACACCTCATATATCAACATTAAACACCTCTAAATAGTGAACACAATAGATAAAAAAACATAAATAACAATGAAGGAGAGTACACATATAAATTTAACTTAGGTGAGGATGTGTTTGAATGCCTTGTGAAACAAGACAGTCTTCAACATCCTCTTAAAAATGGGAGGGAGGAGGCCTGACATACTTCTGGCAGGAGCCCGTTCCATAAGGAAGGATCCACTGCCGAGAAGGCATGATTTCTAGTGAGTCTTCTTTACCTCCCTTGGCATAACAATCAGGAGAAGCAAGGCCTGTGAAGAATAAGTAGTACAGGCTAATGTTCTGAGGAAGAGACATTTTTACAGATAAGTGGGTCCCAAACTGTAAAAGGCTTTATAAACTAAAACTAGTAGCTTGTACCTGGCCCAGAAAACCACAGGACACCAGTGCAGATGGACCAGAACTGGGGAGAGGTGATCAAACTTGTTCACACCCGACACCACTCTGGCTGGCACATTCTGTACCTGCTGTAGCCTCCGGATCAGCCTGAAGGGTAGCCCCATGTAGAGAGCATTACAGTAATTGATCATAGAGATCACCAGTGCATATATTAATGTTGTCAAGGACCCTCTATCTAGTCAGGGATGCAACTGGACAATCAATCTATATTGGTAAAAGTCAGAGCTGGACAGAGCTGAAATTTGATTTTAAAGCAGTCAGCACTGGTAGAGATACTAGAACACAGAACAAACCTTGGGTATATATATGAACCTCTATGAGTAAGGATTAGAAACTCAGGATGCAACCTATACAGTGGGCCCTCTACTTAAGGAATTAATCCGTACTGGAATGGTGGCTGCAAGTCAAAAAGTCTGTACGTCGAATCTCCATTGACCTACAATGCACGAGTAAGGATTAGAAGCTCAGGATGCAACCTATAACTTAAATGTATGCTCTAGAAGAGCTATGGATAACAGGCTGTATTAAGAACCTTCAGGGTGAGTTGATTTTCCTTATCTGCACAACACTCCCCATGTGCCACCTTCCCTGGTCTCCAAATGAAATCGGCACTACTAAGCCAAAGACTTAAATAACTAATTTCTAAAACACTGGGAGCATACTCTGCACTCTTCAGAAGGGAACAATAAATTTTAGAGGAGCTGTGGAGTGCAAACTATCACGCATGCCATTTATAAACAAATGTCTTCAAATAATATAAGGTCTTCACATATGACTAAGGCCCTATGCAAACCTGATCATCCAACCATAACTAGGAGATGAGGAAGGTGCAGTTTTCCACATCCCCTCTTCTGTTCCCAATTTTCTCACTTCATTCCAGAAACTGCTTTAACCACACCTTAGTTAACTATAGAAACTACGATTAGCTCAAACCAGAACTTAATCAACAAGGGTGTGCAAGCCTAGCGTAACCAGTACAGTAGCTTCAATAGTACTCTCTGCAAATGTAAACTTAATTAGCATAAGTGCAAATATAAGAACACCACCTTTTAAAAACATACCTACAGCAGTGGCATGAAGAATTTATTCAAACAAAGATCAGAGGAGACAAAATTAGGTATCAGGAATGTCTTATCTGCAGAGTGTCTAACTGATGCAGAGTAATATAAAATTGTTAAAAATGGAATATTTGTGTAAATTATATTGGTCGCAATATATTTGTTATCTCCACTCAAGAACATCTAATTGTTTTAGCCAGAGAATGTGACCAGTACCATCCTTCCACCCCTAATACATCTTTCTGGTGCACACACCATAGCAATTTCTTTCTACTGAGATGTTTTCAGCTATAAAAATTGGATTCAGACTAGTATTGGTAGTGAAAGAAAATCAAATGAAGGCTACTGAAGAAGTGATTAAAGTAAGGGGAAACAGGTAACATCTGATACTGGGTATCTGCTGTTGGAACAGCAGAACTCAGCAGATGTGGGAAAGGGGAATCTATCCTCCCTACTGCAGTGCCCTCTCCCTTAGATCTGAAAATCTATTCTGGAGAACTGTAAAACCTTCTGGAAATGGTTTTCAGGCTTTTACAAGGAGAGAGAAAAACATGATTTCCCCCCTTTTTGTTGAGACACATGATCAGAAATCCTGTTGCTTAGCATAGTAAGTTGCACTAGAAAAGCCCCACTGAATCAGTGGGGATTTGGTGAGTCAACTTCTCAATATGATCCATTGATTCAATTGGACCTACTCTAGATGCAACTTACTTTAGCATAGCAAGTCACAACTAGAGTAGGCCTGTTTGAATCAATGGAACAGTGCTGATTCCCCAAACTCGCATTGATTCAGTTGCAATTCAATCCCCACTGATTTAGTAGGCATACTGTACTCTAGTGTGACTTACTACACCATGAACACGATTTCAACCTGGGAATGGTAACTATGGAACATAATTCAACACAACAATGGGTGATTCCATGCTTATGCCCTGTGGCTTTTTTAGTGGCTGGGCAATCTATTCACAAATAATGGCATTCTTAAACAAATATGAGATTTGTGACTGAGCATAATAGGAAAATGTTATAATAAGGAAGTTCATAGAAGTGAACTGGTTTAAAATGTCATATTAAGCAACTGAATAACAAAGATTCAACAGAACAGCACAACTGAATACCAGTTTATTTTATTTAGAATATGTGAGTAATTAACATTCAAATTAATAAAATCCCTAGTTAGTCACAGTAATGCTTAAGTTTTAGAAAATAATTCTGCTTTTCATTCACAACAGTGTAACATACATATTTAATGAACAAAAACAACAGAAGAGCAAACTACATCATATCTAGAAGCAAGCATCAGTAGCAAAAATAATTCAGTACTAAGTGGTATCACTTTGCCAATGTGAACATTTACCTCATTGGAAGGGGAGGCAGGAGATGTAAAAATAGTCTTCCAATAGGACCACACAAACATGACAAACGACAGATGAAAAATCACAAGGTAGACAACTGCAATAAAAAATAAAACACAAGGAAGGTTTCAGTGAGTTACACATAAAAAGAGCAAACATAATAAAACATGCAATGACTAGGATGTAAAGCACAATGATTTTTCATAACTATATCAGCAAAATAAATTTGAAGAGACAGTTCAGAATAGCAAATTGTATGCTACCATGGCCAGTTCTGAACATAATACCAGAATTGTGAGTGTGAGAGAGTTTAATCATCATAGGGATAGAATTGATTTGTCTGTTAAATTAAAATTCAGATTTTAAACATAGTGAAAAATGTAACTATACCAAAACTCTTTTTTAAATAATCCTGTTTTATATGCTTTTTGAAAGCAATCAAAATGAGAAAGAGAATTTACAAGCCTAACTTCAACATCATCTAGGGAGTAACAAGGATTTCCCTTCCTCTTCCTCATGTATGGAGCCCAAAGCTATTTGAAAACCAACAGCAACTTTCTAAGGTCTCTGGAACAGATTTATGAGACTGCAATAGAGAGCATAAATAATTGATTCTGCTGGATCCCATTGTTCTATCAGTCCATCCCCTAGACTAAACACTGTGTTAAATTTATATTGTAAAAAAAACCCTGAGCAATGATAAAAAAAATCCAAGGTGAAACAACGGCATCTTCTGAATTAAGGTACAATTCCTTGTTTGGTATTATGTCTAAACCGAGCCACTGATTTAAGGACTGCATTCCTGTGTAAAGAATGATTCACGAGTAAAACATCTGCCATTCAAGATTAAGCATTATAAAAATGGCACAGCACTATATTTATTATTACAGGCTTTGGAACTGGCAAGTCATCACAGACACTGGGAGTCTGCCCCCACTCCAAGATATGCCATTCTATATTTCACTAGGATCACACTGCAGATCCTAGAGCTCAAATGTCAGCCAGCCCCTTGCCCAACTCCATCCTGGCTTTGTTTACCATTTGAACTTGAACATTTGCATAGTATTTTATGAGCCCTCAGTTGGCTTAATAAAGGTATTACTGTATGCTGATATGTATTTTAGTACATTGCTTGTGGACTGAATCTATCTAGGTCATGTGGTACAACCACCTTAAATTCTTGAACTACCTGAGCCTTGCAACTTGCTTAGTATTAAAGTATTAATAATAAAACTATGAATATTTATGGCTACCAATTAAACTTCTATCTCATGAAAAGACACCAAGCTCCCTAATAACTGCCAGCACTTACTATGGGAAAAATCTTACTATTTGGTCTGGATGTCTTGCTTACAGCTGTCACATGGGTACAAAAAAGCAAGAGACAGGGACAGGCATAAATCTGTATCCTTAAATACAATATGGTGTAATATTACTTGCAAATAAACCATGCATTGTATTTGTGAAGGCATTATTTAAAATGTAAGACACTGCAATATAGTATATTTAGGAAATAATAAAGTGTGTTATTTAAGGTAACTAAGGGCTCCAGTCATAAATCCACATTTTACTGATTACAAATTGGCAATCACTGTACACTTTTTAGAAGGAATATATAAGAATAAAAATTGAATTGGCAAAAATTTGTATATTAGCTTGAACATCCTGGATCTTATCATATCTAATCTTTATGCCAAAAACGGCAAAGATGCATTTTATAGCCAACCCAAGTTAATGTGAGTGCTTCTTAAATTTAAAAAACAAGAAGAAAAAGAAAAACTACAGTATTCCTAGATCTCAACTTAACTACTTTTAAATTCTTCTGAGATCACTGTAACCAGTGTTCATCATAATTAAACCTTCTAACACCATGTTTCCCCGAAAATAAGACAGGGTCTTATATTAATTTGTGCTAAAAAAAACCAAAAAGAAATGCATTAGGGCTTCTTTTCAGGAGGTGTTTTATTTTTTCATGTCCAACAATCCACATTTATTCAAATACAGTCATGTCATCTTCTGGTTGCAGCACAATGGTGGTGAGTGGGCTTTTACTTAAATGGGGCTTATTTTTAGGATAGGGCTTATATTATGAGCATTCTAAAAATCATACTAGGGCTTATTTTCAGGTTATGTCTTATTTTCAGGAAAACAGGGTAATAAAGAACATACATTCTTTTGATTGTATGTAAAGCCTGCTCTAGGTAGAATACTAAAAGTAGCCAATTGAGTTAGTATGTCACAAATTATCTATTTTGCCACTGCTGCAATGCTAAATCACTGCTTTGCTTTATGTGATCTTCTAATCTAAAACAATGAAGGACAGCAGTTAAATCTAGTTTTGGCATTTTTTCCTTATATACACCCAGATCTTCTATCATATAGTTTACACTGAATTCTAATTTCCCAATGCTGATTTACAACAAAATACAGTGGTGCCTCACTAGATGCTTACCCCGGTAGATGACGAAATCACTTCATGATGAGTATTTTGCGATCGCTATTGCGACCGCAAAATGGTGTTTAGGTGCAGAAAATCCGCTTGACAATCGGTTCCTTGCTTCATGAACCGATTTTTCGCTTTACGACGATCAAAACAGCTAATTGTCGGGTTTCAAAATGGCCACCTGCTGTTTCAAAATAGCTCCCCGCTGTGTTTCTTCGCTTTACAGGCACCGGAAAATGGCCGCCCTATGGAGGATCTTCGCTTTACGATGAGGTATTTCACCCATTGGAACACACTGAGTGGTTTTCAATGCATTTCAATGGGCTTTTTACTTTCGCTTGACGACGATTTTGTTCTATAGCAATTTTGCTAGAATGGATTATCGTCGTCAAGCGGGGCACCACTGTATGTAAAAAGTGGAATAATGTGCCAAACACAAACTCTTCATGTACCAATTTGGAAAAAAAATCTCCCCGTTTTTTATGCTGTTTCCGTGAGATCATTTAATGAAAATGTGTTTATCATGCATAGGATAGACTTCAAACATGAATTTTTACAACCAAACTACATGCTACGTATGTTCTACTCTTATTCAGGCAGATGCAATACATTAGTATCCCCAGAGTCACGTTTTCTTTCAATATTCACACCATGCTAACCTACAAGCCAAAAGTATTTGATGGTACTGTTGCCCAAAATGCATTACAGTACTTTCTTTTTAAGTATCAAGCGCTCTTCCTAACAAGTACTCATCACTTAACCATAGTCCAATGTGCGGCAGCAATTGCAGAAAGTAGCAGCATGAACTAAAACATACTGCCCTGCACTGAATTCAAGAGCCCCTACACCCCTGCAGTTTACCAAAACGTAGCTGCTTATACCTACAAGGGTGGCTCATATCTGTGCAGTAAATTTAGGAATCATGCCTAAAATTAAGAAGGTGAACACTTGTCATATTTTGTCAAGTGTTCTAGCATAATTTATAAATCTGTCCAGTAGAGCTAGTTCTTTTCATCATTACTGTTCCTAATCCAGGCTGGTTTCCTAAATAGGCATATTTAAGCTACAGTAAGAAGATAACAGAATATTAATTAAAAGGCTTGCTATTTATTGACCCCTAAATCCAGGAGTTGCAGTTATGCTGAAGACATTCTTTTTCTAAGATACTACAGAAAAATGTTTGAAATGATGAAAGTACCTTCTATGACTAACTGTTGGGTGAAGTAAGGAATAGGAACTGTCACATGATACTCAATATTTAATGTTACTTCTGTCACAGTCTCATATCAAAGGAGAAATTGTTGACCTACTTTTCCAGAGATGATGAAGGATGAAAGTTTAAGATGTACAATTAAGCTTCAGCAAAATCCTAAAAAGATTTGGGAATTCTAATAATAAATATGTGCCACTAAGTCAATTCTGACTTATCGTGACCCTTCCCAGGGTTTCCTAGGTTATAAAGTACTCAGAAAGGGTGAATCCCTGTTCCAAAAGCAATGTGCAGAGATTAGATTCTGCTGCAACTGAGATTACTTTATATTTACAACTTGACTCTATCTTTATTATTTTCAGTTTTTGTCTTCATTAGTTTGTCTGATTTTATTGTTAACAGCCCAGAAACGTGCACTGATTATTACAGTGCTATATACATCAATTAGGTAGGTAGGTAGATAGGTAGGTAGGTAGGTAGGTAAATAGACAGACTGACAGACAGACAGACAAGTGGAATGCTGGGCCCATATAGCAGTAGCACAGCTACTATTGAGGGAAACATTTCTCAGGAAAGCTGTGGAGGATAAGACCGCTCCTGCGGAGTGATCTCACACTGTGGGTGGCAGAGGTGACCTTGCAAGGTTGTAGGAGACAGTAATAACATCCACGAGCCATCTGCTGAGCAGAGAGGGAGGCAACTGATGAGCAACTTTGTAAATGACCAAGAGTCTAGGTGTCTTATGAATAGATTGTGTCCTGGATGTATAAAAGGCCAGGTGTGACGTATGAGTGCAGAACATATAAGGAGTACAGAGGCAGATAATGGATAAAAATAGGCAGGATGATAGGCTGTAAAAGTAGAAGCAAGAGTGAACTTTCAGAAGAAAAGAGATGTCAGTGAGGATAAGCAACCACTTTCTTACTGAAGAACTGGAGAAAGGGAGGGTCGTGACAAAGCTCAGCAAATTCACTAGCCTTGTGTGCAGATGCAATGACTACCAGGAAAACTGTCTTCAAGATAAGGAAGCATAGTTGAGTCGTGGCCAGGGGTCCAAAAGGAGGTCTCATCAGGCACACTAGGACTAGTGGGAGGGACCACAGGGGTGGTGGAGGTTGCATATCTGGAAACAGTTATTGAGACCCTTAAGAAACCTTTTGAGTGTCGGTTCCCGAAACAGCAGGGATGCCTCAGAACCCAGAGAGTGGTTGGCAAAACAACTGAGAAGCCGGTTAATCCATATCTACCACTAGGGGGTGAATTTTTTTCTTCTTCTTTTGACCTAAGGTGAACTTAGGTCAAAAAAAGGGCAGGAAAGGTTCTTAAGTCGAGGCTCCGTTCTAAAGTCGAAGCAACCTTTTGCGAACAGAGCCTTAACTCGAATCGTTCGTATGTAGGGACGTTCTCAAGTCAAGGTACCACTGTAGTTGGATGTGTGCCTGCTAAACTCACCGAGGACATGTTTTGCTGACCAGCTTCCTAAAATTTTCTAAATGCATGTTCAGTGAACAACTATCAAATATCTGAGTATTTTTCTCCATCTCATGAATAATCTTTCTAAAATAGCCAGAGCTTGGAAACTACCAACATGTAGTTATAGTCTAAAAAAGCTCTGGCCGCAACACATTATAAAAAGAGTTGTCTGGTTACAGAATAAGCAACGTCTCTTATCCTTTATCTTGTACTCATCCAAATCATTTCAGCATTTTAATTCTAGGTAGTATCTACTCATGCAAAATAATTATTCTTTCTCCTTTATTTTACCTACTGCAAGGGGTAAAGAATGCACTACAGGTAAATGTAAACAAGTATCATCCAAATAATTTAGCAAGATTAAATTTAGAGCTCAGCTGTGCACACAGTGTGTGTGAAGCAAAAGAAAATCAAACAAAATCTTTATATTTTATATACAGAGAAATATTCCTACCTTTTTCTCCAGTTGAGGTAATTGTAACTAGGGGGAAAAACAAAATAAGAATATATGAATTGTTAAAGCAAATAATCAACATTAATAAAATATGAATAACTATTTAAATAAACAACGAGCTCCCTAAAGAAAATGCATTTTACTGTACTCCAAAGTCCGAGAACCTAACTAATATTGAGCATAATTCCCTTCACAAAAAAAGGTTTGTCTACTTTGGAAAAGAGTAATTAGCTATGGTTTCAGTTTCTGGAAAAAGGAATGGCTTTGTGGTGCTGTGAAACAGAAGCTGCCTTCAGTTTTATTTATTTCACTTTTTCTTCAAGTCTGGGAAATTGAGATGAACGAGCTGCAATGCAGTATGGAAGATAGTAAGTAAATGCCCTAGATCAGTGGTCCCCAACCTTGGCCTCCAGATGTTCTTGGACCACAAGTCCCAGAAGCCTTCACCATCACCTCTGCTTGCCAGGATTTCCGGGAGTTTAAATCCAAGAACATCTGGAGGACCAAGGTTGGGGACCACTGCTCTAGATAAAAACAAGGACATACCTTGTTATGTTTTTGGTCCTTGTCTAGTTGGCATCAATGTACTGTGGGTTAATAAAATGAACAAGTATTTTATGGTACTTTGCAGCCTCATTCACTGTTCTTTTCAAATTGCCACAGCAAACCATCATTTGTTGTTTTCTTTAAAGAAAATTATGTTTAGCAGTTCAGAAGAAGGCAAGGTAGTAAACAAATTTCAGACTGTGGTTTAACGCTCCTACTTGTTTTAAACCTAATGACCATAATTTTCTAGTCTGGATATTGATTGTGTCAAGTAGCAGCTTCTCTTGCACCTAAGGTTAAGAAAAGTGTCACAGCAAGGAAATAACTTTTATACAATCACATTTTACTGTAATCCTGTGGATGATTTTAAACTGATGATAATTCACTTAAAATTCTGTGTGCGTGCAAGCAGAGAAGAAGCAGTGTTTGTGAAATAGAGCATGTAGTTTATTTACAGTTCCTTAGAGTACAGAAGTGAAATGTACCAACAATAACTGGTGTTCCAAAAAGGTGCAATGAACAAAGCTCTGTACAGAAGTTTTATCATGACAACTTTATAATTTACATTTGATGAGAAAAAAAGCACAGATTCAAAATATAATTCATTGTCAAGAAGGATAGTCTCTGCAAGATACTACTAGAAACTCATACAATAGACAGTACACTGCTTCTGTAATCTGGTACTCAATCACTGGTATAAAAATAGCTACTTCAGATGAAGTACCTTTGGACCGTAATAGCTGAAGCACTGCTGAATGGAACTTTCTCCAAATCTGACTACACACTGAGCACCACAGAAACATGGATTGATGTTTGACTTTTAGCAGGCAAATCACTATCAGTGTGCCACAGGTAAGTTGAAGAAATCCTATCTAGGATTGCATTACAGCATACTTCTATACATGTCTACTGAAAAATAAATCTGGATGAATTAAGTTTACTCCCACAAAATGCATAAGAAATGCAACTATTATCTTTATTAATAGCTCAAACAAAATCTCAATCAACATTTTAGTTTGACAAAGACACGATTTCTGCACAGCAGCTTTTAAAAACTAACGCATAAAAATGACACATTTTTAGAGCTGTCAGAACTTTTATTTAAGAAGGCATCCATATTGCTTTTTAGGACAAGATCTGAAGACAGTTATTTATCCTATTTATCCTATTCTACTTATGCTAGGACCATCTGTTCATTTTTAGGCCTACTTTTTCCAATCTGTCAGCAATACACTCCTGGCAGGAGGCGGAGGACAAGCCTCGCTGCAAGGTCGAAGAGTGGCGAGTGGATCATGTGCTGTAGAGCCATTCATAGAATTGCGCCGTCTCCGGCGGATCGGTGAGTGGACCGTCTGGCCCCATGGGGCTGGAACCTCTCATTAATGCCACCTATGTGGGGATATTCATATACGAATATGAATACATCTATCTATAGTCTTGGACTAATTTAGCATGGCAGAATCACACACATGTAGGAGCAGATTCAACACACTAAAAATAACTTTAATCTCAAGTAGAATATACTGGAAAAATGACCTTTTACCAACATTACCAAGGAGATGATGTTGTACACTTCACTAAACTCAGACTTAACTGGAATATTGTACCACTCTGAATTGGTCTCCACGTACATCTTTATGGAACAAAGAGCCAGAACACCCAACGTCTTAATTCTAGGCATCCAGATAAATACACTCTACTAGCACTTGAGAGAAGAAACTATTAAAATAGCTTCAGATCAGTAGAAAACACTAAATGTAACAGAGTGATGCTGATCATACCCTGTAGCATGTAAAGATTCTTAGGAATAATTTATACCTTAACATGTGATGGGAAAGAAGAGACATAAGGAATGACAACCAAAGTTGTTTAACATTTGAAAAAATAATGAGCTTCTTCTCAAAATAAAACGAATGACAACTGAACTATAATGCCTCTTTTATTGCTACAGTTAATTAGAAAGGCTTCTTGTTTTGTATAAAAAGATTAAACAAAGTTTCTATTCATATTACTATAAAGAACAGGATTCTATATTTTGATCAAATGATACATAGGAAAAAAATAGAACAAGATGGATTTACAGATACACAGTAAGTAAGATGAAAGGCATATTTCAAAGGCTGTGTTTATAAATAAGTAGAGGGGTAAGGTGAAAAAAATAAAAAGGATAATATTTAGTTCTAAATTATACAAAGAGCTGTTTTAACTGTTCAGAGAAAGACACAAGGGAACACATTGTTTCTGGACAGTCTATGGGGGACTGGATGAAATTCTTTAGCCATAAATATGGATGGCTGCTCAGAAATTTCTTTGGAATATGCATGGGAAGTTAGGGCCTAAGCAGGCACCCCCCTCATACTTCTACCCAACTGTTAGCAACCGCTGAATACCAAACAACTGGAATAGTGGAGGAACAGCAATCTTGGCTGTGTTGGGATCTCAGATAAGGGTTGTTAAAATTCCTTTAACTCTCATCTCATGCAGACAAGGTACCTTTGAAGACAGCAGCTCTCCTGCCTACCCATGTTGTGTTGTGAGCTCCTCTCTGGTAATCAGCTAAAGGAGATACATGGGAACATTGACTGTTATTGTATCAGGACTGCTTGGGGAAAATAGATTAAAAATTCTCCCAGATCTTGCTGAAGATTTCTGGTTTTTTGTGGGTTTTTAAAAACTTTCTTAAAAGAACATGGAAACGACAAAATAATAGTACAGGTCTTTCACAAGGAAGGTCTGATATAATTTCTGATACCTCTCCATAAAACTGAAGTAAAAATTAAATAGATTACAATATGTATCAGATTACAGTATGATACAATCTGTATCAGATTAGAGACTGACATGGGAGGCCGGTGGAAAATTAAGTCTTGCCCTTCTTATTAACATAATAAATAAAAGGAAATAATGTGGTGAAAAATAATATTGGGAGTGTGGTTTGTTTAAGCAATCTGATTTTGTGGGTTAATTTTACCATCAGAGCAATATATCATAATCTATTTATCCATGCATGTAAAGTTACTGTAAATTACAAGTTTCCTTTCAATTTTCAGCAATTTCCAAAAATGCTACCATGCATAAAAAGGCAATCATTTATGTATTAGCTGTTTGTTATTGCCTGAAAATAAGAACAAAAATAAAAATAGTAGTAGCAGAGGAACATTAATCTTTTCCCCAGTACCCACTTGAAGAATAGTATTTGATCCCACAGATCATTACATATGTCACTCTTTTAAACTTTTTAAACAAATATTGATATTATGCTATTTTAGAGGGCAGAAAAATTCCACTCATAATCTTTACACTGGCAACAGACTCTAAGTTCAAGAACCAAGTTGTCTTTGCCACTAGAAATATAACATATCTGTGACATGATTAGATATTTAACATGACTGCAGTGAAAGAAAAAGATACTAAAAGTAACAATAACATGTGCAGAAATACATCAACATGCACCAATGCTTGATTAATAATAAAAGGCTCTGTTCCAATATATGTGCAGCTGTTATTTTGTGTTGATGCTTACAAATCAGAGATAGTACAGTGGTGCCCCGCATAGCGAGCAATTTGTTTAATGACGAATCCGCACAGCGATGTGTTTTTTGAGATCGCAAAAGCGAGCACATTGTGATGTTTCTAATGGTAAAACATCGCGTTGTGATGATTGGTAAGCGTTTCGCTTACCGATTTTCGCATAGCGATAGTTTTTAACAGCTGATCGGCGGTTTCAAAATGGCCGGCGGGTAAAGAAAATGGCCGTCCGCTGTGTTTTCGCGCCCTTTCCTCGCTTACCGGGCAGCGAAAATGGCGGCCGCATGGAGGATTTCCGCAGAACGGTGAGTTTCTTGCCCATAGGAACACATTAAATGTGTTTTAATGCGTTCCTATGGGCTTTTTTGCCCTGCATAGCGACGAATCCACATAGCGACGATTTTTTCGGGATTATCGTCACTATGTGGGGCACCACTGTATTCAGATTCAGGAAGGAAAAGCAGTGTCCTAATTGCTGCCATAGATATTTGAAAGGAAATATTTTATTAGAAGAAAAGTGCACACTTAATATTATTCAATAATTAATTAATCACATGATGTCAAATCATTTCTGACTTAGGGCAACACTTTCCGGGGTTTTCTAGGTAAATGGTTTACTAGACCCTTCTCTGTGGGCACTGTGAGACAGTGCATCTTGCCTGAGGATACACAAGCTGGCTCCTCTTCCAAGAGGCACCCAACATTCAAATAAATCCAAAGCTTTAAATTGTTTTTTCAATAATTTGAATACTAACTTTGCATTTTTATAGGAACATGGTATATTGCTCTTACATTTTCATTCCAATTTAAGGGGGATATGCAGTAAAACTAGTTTTAGCATACTGAAGAAAGAGTGCATTACATACTGCACTTGTCTACTTACTCACTTCTGACAAACGTAACTCCCTTCAGCTAAGGTCACTAAGACACCACTACTTTTGCAGTCATTCTGC